GATCCGCCTGCCTCTGCCTCCCAAGTGCTGGGATTAAAGGTGTGTGCTACCATGCCTAGCTTTTTTTTTTTTTTTAAATATGTTTGTTTTGCCTGCATGTATGTTGATGCACCTATGTGTGCAATGCCTGCAGAGGCCAGAAGAGGGCATTGGATCCCTTGGAACTGGAGTTATGGATGATTGTTAGCCACCATGTAGGTATTAGAAACCAAACCTGGGTCCTCTGCAAGAGCAGCCAGGGCCTTAACTGCAGAGCCATCTCTCTAGCCCCAGCCTTGAACTCTTGATCCTTTCTCCTCCAGGTCCCAAGTGCTAGGATTATAGGCATGCTTCACCATGCTGGCTTGTTTTGTTTTTTGATACAGGGTCTCCCTGACTGGAACTGGGTGTAGACTAGGATGGCCTCAAATTTTGGGCAATCCTACTTCTGGCTTCTGAGTGCAGAGCTTACAGGCATGCATTCTCATGCCTAGCTGAAATAGAAACTTCTGAAATAATGTATCAGAATTGCATACATTCTCATTTGAGGCAGTGACTGTATTTCTCCGGTAAGACCTGGACTTAGTGCATCATTTGTTGAGTATGGCAAGCTCTAGGGTTTATTATTTTTTATTTTTAAATATTTTTATGTGTAAGAATGTATTGCCTGCATGTGTGTAAGTGCACTGGTTTCATGCATTGCCCAAGGAGGTCAGAAGGTGTCAGATCCCCTGGAACTAGAGCTATAGATGGTTGGTTGTTAACCACCATGTGGGTGCTGGGAATCGAACCCAGGTCCTCTGCAAGAGCAATCTGTGCTCTTAACTGCTGAGCCATCTCTCCAGCCCCTAGGGTTTATATTTTTAAGAAACACTTTATTTGATAAACATGTATTAAGTCACATACTGTGTCAACAATATGTTGGGAATATAAGGATGAATAAAACTAGTTCCTACCATTGAATGGCTCAAAGGTTCTTATCCTGTCTTACAGGACACTTGGGATTGCAGCTGCTGAGCAAGGATTCTGGAAAGCATTGTGTCCCTGAGCCCCCAGCATGGCGGGCCTAAAGCGACGGGCAAGCCAGGTGTGGCCAGAAGAGCATGGTGAGCAGGAACATGGACTCTATAGCCTCCACCGCATGTTTGACATCGTGGGCACCCACCTGACACACAGAGATGTGCGTGTGCTTTCCTTCCTCTTTGTTGATGTTATTGATGACCATGAACGAGGACTCATCCGAAACGGACGTGACTTCTTACTGGCACTGGAGCGCCAGGGCCGCTGTGATGAGAGTAATTTTCGCCAGGTGCTGCAGCTGCTACGCATCATCACTCGCCATGACCTGCTGCCCTATGTCACGCTCAAGAGGAGACGGGCTGGTGAGGGTTTATTGGGGCCTGGGGACACTTAGAAAACAGCTGTGGGAGGCCAGTAGTAAGCAGCATAGAAGTCTAAGAGGGAGGGAGGAGCACTTGACACTGGGGAGTGTCTAGGAAAATGTTATGATGCCCTCTGGGAGAAGGCAGGTGTGTATCTTCTTGAGTGACTCCTTGTCTTCCTGCAGTGTGCCCTGATCTTGTAGACAAGTATCTAGAGGAGACATCAATCCGCTATGTGACCCCCAGAACCCTCAGCGATCCGGAACCGAGGCCGCCCCAGCCCTCTAAAACAGGTGAGAAGATAGTACTCCTAATTTTCATAATCAAACAAGAACAGTTGTCATCACATTCCTGGCTTTGACAACTTTAATGAAAAGTTGAAGTCCCCCTTCATCTACCTCATTAAAATAAATCAGGTTGGGGAGATGGCCCAGTAAACTGTTTGTTACACAAGCATGAAGGACCTGAGTTTGGATCCCCCAACACCCACATAAAAAGCTGGGTAATCCTCAAAAGCAATCCTAGTATTGGAGAGGCAGACACAGGTAGATTCCTGGAGCTCACTGACCAGCCAGCCTAGACAAATTGATGAGCACTAGGGTCAGTTAGAGACCCTGTCTCACAAATTAAGGTGGAGAGGGATTGAGGAAGACAGCTGATATTGACCTCTGGACTTCACATGCAGGTATACCAATGTGTGTACACACCCACAAGAACATATATACATACCACACACAAATCAAATGAGATGTAATCCTTCACCTAGGTCTCATATTTGTTCTCACATTGTGTCCTCCTTTCAGGTCACATTAACTTTTTTGTGTTTTGAAAGAGGTTCCTGCTATATATAGCCCAGGTTAGTCTATAATTCTTCATGCACCAAACCCAGTGGGCCCCCAGTGCTAGGGAGAGAATCTAGATCTTCATGAATGCTAGGCAAACCTTTGACCCCTGAGCTTAACCTCCCCAGCCCTGAGGTTATATTATTGATACTGCTTTTTGTGTTAATATCTAAATGATTCCTTACATGTTCTAAGTGAAATACTTGAAATTGTTTTTACCCTGTTGTGTTTTCTAACATTTCACCTTCTCGTCAGTGCCTCCCCACTATCCTGTGGTGTGCTGCCCCACTTCGGGTCCTCAGATGTGTAGCAAGCGGCCAGCCCGAGGGAGAGCCACACTAGGCAGCCAGCGAAAATGTCGGAAGTCAGTGACACCAGATCCCAAGGAAAAGCAGACATGTGGTGAGGAAATTTAAGGATTCTAGAGACGTAGACTTGAGAAAGTATAAAGAGCTCCTGGAATGAGGACAGTCTATGTATGTTATTCCGTACAAGGCAATCTTTGTGCTATTGCCTCGGTTTAGTGTCCGAGAGAACTCTTACCTTTGTGGTAATGGCATATTGCAGTTCTTTTTACTAGGTCAAAGGGATGTCAATATGACATCCTTGTGATAGGATGAACCAAGTCAAGACGGAATTAAACTTCTGTGCCTTGTTAATTAAGAAAATATTTCTTAAGGTGCTGTTTATGAATGGTGGGATTGATGCTGATCTAGGTAGGTTACATTAAGGGAACCTCCTGCATTCAAGCAAAGATTTCAGAGACTTATCAGAAAGAATTAACTCTGGGTAAGAGGTAACAAAGCTGTGAGATTTCTCTACTTTACTGTTCTTTCAGACTTTTCTAGCTTGGGCTGTAATTGTAAATGCATTCTTTACTATTAATTATTCCGTTCATATCTTCTCTCTCAGATATCAGGCTGCGAGTTCGGGCTGAATACTGCCAGCATGAGACTGCTCTGCAAGGCAATGTCTTCTCCAATAAGCAGGACCCACTTGAGCGCCAATTTGAGCGCTTTAACCAGGCCAACACCATCCTCAAGTCCCGGGACCTGGGCTCCATCATCTGTGACATCAAGTTCTCTGAGCTCACCTACCTCGACGCATTCTGGCGCGACTACATCAATGGCTCGTTGTTAGAGGCACTGAAAGGTGTCTTCATCACAGACTCTCTCAAGCAAGCTGTGGGCCATGAAGCCATCAAGCTGCTGGTGAATGTGGATGAGGAGGACTATGAGCTGGGCCGACAGAAACTCCTGAGGAACTTGATGCTGCAAGCATTGCCCTGACCTTTCCCCACACCTCTTTGGAGACTGTTCCCACCACCCACCTCTGGAGCTCACATACTGTTCTGGAGTTTGTTCTCTACCCTTCCAACCAATCACACCGCCTTTTTTTTTTTTTTTTTTTTAAAAGGAAAAGACAAAGGAAAGTGGAAGTGGTGTTCCCTACCCCTCCCTGCACCTATGTGCCTGGGCTTCCCCTCTGTTTCCTGTTTCCACTTAACCCCTAATGTGTGTCTCTACAGCCACCTTACCACTGAGCCGTAAGACAGATGTATAGGGACAAAGTCTATGGAACATAGTCTTTGTAAGAGATTGACGTGAACATTGCTTTCAGGTGCACTGAGGGGTTATCAATACTTATGGCTTTATGAGGGCTCTTAAATTTTGTCTGAAAAACCAAAGGGCTGTGAGTAAGGGAGCTATGTGGAAGGTGGGACTCTGAAGTGTATTTTGGAAATTAATTACCACCTTCTTCCAGATTACAGAATTTTTAAAAAACAAGCTGTGGCCCTTTCCACTCTCTCCTGGCCTCTGGTGCTGCTCCTCTCTCTCTGCCTTTCCTCCATTCTATGGCTTGAAACTTCTGCCTGGTGTGGCTCCTTCCCTTTTCTCCTTTGTCAAACTCTTCAAGGGAGTAACATACAGGATTTGGTCAGCCTACTAACCCCTTCCAACTGTGATGTGTGTGTGTGTGAACACTCATACACAGCATGGATGGAACAGAGGCTGCTGATTAAAATTAAAAATGCTTCTCTGAAAAGAAGGGGAAGCATGACATTTCCATTTTTAAGTGAAAATAAGTAACAAATGAACTCTCACCCCCATCCCAATCCCCTTTCCCTTTGCTTCCTTCCAGCTTGAGCAAGGGGCACCATAGAAGAAAATGAGGTATTTGGTGTCAGCTCCTCCTCTTCCTGTCCTCTTTTCTACCTTTACACCTACTCCTGTGCTTTGGAGAATGCGGCTAGGCCATGCACTGAGTGCTGCACTTTTTAGGTAGGAAGGCATATTGAATGAGCCAGGAGGCCTACAACTGGAGCCTAGTCAAGCAGGTCTGATACCGCCTCCCCTTCCAGCTCCCAAAGGTGATGTCCACACACAGACATTATGATTATTATATTTTTTTCAATGCCAGTGCTGCTTAGCCCCCAGCGTAACTTCAGTTTTCATGAAATAAACAGTGACTATATAAGATTCCACTTTTCTGAAACTGAAATCTGAGGTCAGGACAAAGTTTCTTTCCCAAGAACTTGAGCCTGTGATCCATTAAGAGTTTAAGGTTCTGCAAATGAGGGGAGCTGTGCTTGAATTGCCTCACCTCTAAGTGGGGGTGGTAGTATCTTAGAAGTAAAAAGCTTTAAGACAGTGGATCACCCAGATTGCCATAGAGGTCAGGTCTGCGGTGCTGGAACACAGGCAGATTTTGGCGTATCTGTTGCAGAAAGTTGAGGTCAATTCGGGCAAGGCAAAGGCCTGGTCCCTCAGAGCAGCAGGCCACCACTGTACCCCAGGGGTCCACCACCATACTGTGGCCGTAACTTGCTCTGGTCTCATGATGGCGTCCACACTGTGCTGCTGCCACTACATAGCACTGGGATTCAATAGCACGGGCCCGCAGCAACACCTGAGGATGAGATATATGTTCACTCAAGTATACATAGGGATAAGAAGGGCATTACAGACCAATCTACTCATTGTGGCCATTCCTATAATTGAGTAGAAAATGACTACATTAATTCTAGAACATGAATGACACTTATCTGGAGAATGACTTTTCCCACCAGCGGGAAGCGGAAGAAAATCCAAGGAAGGAGACTAAGGTTTTGTTCTTTCAGTTTTTCAAGCTGGGTCTCATGTATCCCCTAGAACTCACTAGAGCAGGCTAGCCTTAAACTTGTGGCTATCCTCCCAAGTGCTGGGATTACAGGTATGTGCTATTACACCCCAATACTGAGAATAAGGTTAAAAGGAGGCATTTATGTTTTGAAGAAGTGTTCTCTTACCTCCCAGTGGGCTGGGCCTGTAACAGATCCAAAAGCTGAAGGATAGGTAAGTATTTCTGCTCCAGCCTGAGCCAATTTCAGAGAGAGTTCAGGGAACCGAATGTCATAGCAGATAGATAGACCGATCTGAAATACAAAACAACCTATTACCCTGTCCTGTTTGTTACATCCAGTACCTCCTCCATTCCACTCAAAAGGGATGTTACCACTTCAATGTATTATTCCCTCTTCCCCTTCATCCTCTTCAAACTCCCACCTTGCCTGCTGGTGTGCTGATGGGTAGCTCAAGATTGGATCCAGGCATCGTAGAGTTGCTTTCACGCATAGGCCCCTGACCTGGAATCTCTACATCACACAGATGTGTCTTCCTGTAAGTAGCCACTACTAATCCTAGCATAAGAGAATGCTGTCAGTACAGGTGCTCTAGAAGTCCAGCTTAGCTCTTTTCCCAAAGAGGAAAAGGTTTATAGGCTAAGAACAGAAGTACAGGGGTTGGCTGGAGAGATGGCTCAGTGGTTAAGAGCACTGGCTGCTTTTACAGAAGACCAAGGTTTGATTTCCAGGACCCAAAGGGCAGCTAATTGTAGCTCCAGTTCTGGGATCCCAATGCCCTCTTTTGTCCTCTATGGGTACTACAGGACAAGTGCACTTACATGCTGACATAACACTCATACACATAAAATAAAAATTAAAAGTACAAAATCCTCTAAAGTCTTGGGCCAAGCAGCTGAGAGAATTGTGAAAAATCTGAGTTTAAGGTAGAAAAATCTAGGAAAAGGCAGACTTAAAGAGTTATGAAGTCTCACCCTCGCTGTTCAGAAGCACATGACAATTGTAGATTTTCTGAGTCTGGTCCCAATCTTGGCCACGCTCATGGAAACCACCCAAGGACAGCCAGATTCCACATTCCCTGGGGGGAGGGGACACTGACAACTTTTCTCAAGGCTCTACCCCCTCTATGTGGCAGGCAATCTAGGAACACTGCACAGCAATGATTCTACCTCTCTCCCACCCCCATACCTGGCAAGCTTGCTATATTGTCCCAAAAGGCTCCCATACAGTGGCTCAGACAGGCGTAGCGTCTCTTCGGGGTTTCGTGCGATGTAGTCAAATGCCTCAGGCAGAAAAGCCAAACAAGCACCCAGTCTGGCAGCCTCTTGAACCAGCTCAGCACATGTTTTAAAGTTCTTCTGCTTGTTTGGTGTAGATGTTACCTGGCACACTGCCACCAGGGGCAGCTCCCAAGAAGATGAGGAAACAGCCATGGCTCCGAGCCTGTGAATGGCACAGGCAGGATTCTCAGATATACTAGCATGGAGAAACCCAAGCTTAATGGCAGGGGCTCAAATGGTGGTGCTGGTGAAGGAGGGAGGCCAGAAACTGGACTTTCTCTTTTTGAGACTGGGTTTCATGTAGCCCAGGCTGGCCTTAAGCACGTGTATTATGTAGTTATGGAATGCATGTGGAGATCAGAGGTTCTCTCCTTTCTCTTTTATCTGGGTTCTGGGAGTCAAACAGGTCGCCAAGCTTGTATGAGAAGCGCCTGGAACCTGCTAAGCTATCTCACCAGCCCTTCTTTCCACTTTTACAGAACATTCTAACCTCAGAGCTACTGGGGCTCATTCATTAATTGTTCTGTGGGTGGCTGACACCTTTGTCTCCCGTTATACAGTTAATAAGCAAACATGTTACCTGGGCTGAGTACAAAGTACAGAGAGTCGAGGTAATCGCAGTCCAGTACACAAAAGGGACAGGAGTTGGTGTGGCCTGGTGATGAAGCCCAGCCTGAAGAATGTGAGAAATCAGAACACCAAGACCTCTTCAAGCAGCATGTTTCTAGAATTCTCTGCCATTTCCCTTCATATTGGTGAGGCTGAATCAGGGCCCTGCCAGTAATGCCCTCCCCCAAGGCTTCAAAAGCGCTTCTATTAGTAGTTAAGGCTATGTAAAGAGCATAAAGTGGAAAGATGGGGGAGGAGACCATGATCCGTGCCTGAATACCTCAATTTCCAGTGACCTCACATTAAAACTGAAGTCCTTTTCCTCTGCCAAACGTTTCCGAAGTTCAAGTCATCTCATGGACCCTTCCTCGTTTCCCCACGCCTCTCTTCACCGTGCTGCGTGAACAGCTTTATTGACTCAACACATCTTTCCCCTTACACTATAATCTCTGAAGTTCACCCTCCCTAGAGCCCCATGATCTCGAGATGAGCAGGGGGCACAGGACCAGACCCCACCTCGCAACCCCACCCTCTGTTAGCGCGGCCTTCCCCGCCTCTCCCTGTGGCAGGAGTCTGTTGCACAAGTTAAAGCAGCACAGGTGGCATTCACCGCAGCGTGAGGGAAAGAAAGTAGGTCCTACATGAAGATGGCCAGAACCACTCGCAAGGTCGGATCCGTAGAGCCGCCAGGAACCAGAAGAGCAGTGGGCAAGTGGGCGGAGACAGGACGTGACGAAAGGATGAGGCGTGCGCAAGGCGGAAACCCAGCAGGCGGCGAAGATGGCGGAGAGCAGCGGTCGTGTGGGCAAGAGCAGCGGGAGCGGCGCAGGGAAGGGGGCGGTATCGGCTGAGCAGGTGACGAGCCCTGAATGCGGAGGACACGCCCCGGGTGTGGAGTCCGTGCGGGAAACAGAGTCCACGGACTGTCTGGGTCTCCAGCCCCGTTCACGTTCGCCGCGGTCACACTCAGGAGGGTCTTTGGAGGCCATCGCAAGCCCCTCCTAGGGAGAGAGTGGGCTGGTGGGCCGGGAAAGGCCAAGTCCCCGGGCGGGTGGGGAGCTTAGCCCGCCACAAGGGGCGCGTTTCCGCAAGGTCCCGGGTCTGATGGCAGGTGGGCCTCGGTTTACCCGCTCAACGTACGGTGCGGTTTGGTGTCTGGTAGCGAATCCCAGTCACTGAGTGGGCTGTGTGGTCTGTGACTGCAACCACGGCGACTATCGCCGCACAAGCCACGTGACTCAGACCCAGACAGTCTAGTGTTCTATTTTGAACCCGGCCTTGTGGTTTGGTTTTTGGTTTTTTTGAGTCAGGGTCTTCCTACGTAGCCCAGACTGGCCTCGAACTCAGTATTCCGCCTTCTTGCCTCAGCCTTCCGAGTGTAGATTGACTTCAGAAGAGACTAGAAATCCTTTTCTAATCCAAGTTTGCTTCTGTTCTTATTAGCATCGAGAAACATCCGATACAATAATCAAAAAGCCCTTAAAATCCTGTCCTGGTGACTCACGCCTTTAGTCCCCGCACTCAGGAGGCAGGTAGATTGAGATTGAGGCCAACCTGAACTACGTAGCGAGTTCCAGGCCAACTCAGGCTACAGGGAGTCCCTATCTCAAAAAAGACACCCCCCCCAACAAAAAATTTGAAGCAAGGAGCATAAGAGGGAATTCTTGAAAGATGAAACACAAATAGCTGAGTTGTACATTAAAACGCAATCAAGATCTTTAGCAATCAGATTGAGATTGAGGCCAACCTGAACTACGTAGCGAGTTCCAGGCCAACTCAGGCTACAGGGAGTCCCTATCTCAAAAAAGACACCCCCCCCCAAAAGTTCTTTGTGGTAATCGCGATTTGCTGATCGCAGGCTAGTGTTTAATCAATGGGAGAAGAAAACCGCACTATAGAAATGAAAGTAGTTTTGTGGCTAAGGGTGTAGTTTGATGGTGGTGGTGCCTACTTTGTTGGAGGGCCAAGGATTGGGGTGTATGTGAGTGGTGAACAGTTAATCACAGGTGCATTTACCAGTTATCAATTAAACAGGCAAAGGTACCTGCATGAAGAGTTTAAAACCGGTCTTATCAAAGAACACAGTCTGAAGTAAAAAAAAGATTTTTCCACTGCTAGTTTTGAGGCAGAAGGTGAGTGTTCTAAGAGAAGTATAAAGTGCAGTGAGATTTTGGGGGTGATGGAAGAGGTAGCCTCTGACATAGTAGGGAGACCCTAATACTTTTTGAGCAGCTATCTCGTTAGGCATTTTGATGGAAACAAACCTTCCTTGTCTTAAAGTTGCTCACAGATTCATTTGGGGGAAAAAAAAAAGCCAAGTGAGGTGGCTCATTCCTGTAATCCTGCCAGAGGATTTTTGTGAGTTCAGGGCCAGCCTGGACTACAGAGTGAGACAGCCTCAAAACAAACCAAACAAGTCCTGCACAGGGCCTGGAGATGGCTCAGCAGTTAAGAGCACTTGGCTGCCCTTCCAGAGGCTCTGGGTTTGGTTTTCACTATCCACATCAGGTGGCGCACAACCACCTGTGACTCCAGTTCCAGGGGATTTGACCTTCTCTGGCCTGAATTGACACTGCATGCAAATAGTGCACATATATACACTCTGGTACACGTGTACACACACACACAAAAATATTTTTTAAGTCACTTAATGACAGTTTAAGAACCCTGCTGGGTGTGGTGGCACACACCTTTAAATCCCAGCACTCAGGAGGCAGAGGCAGGCGGATCTCTGTGAGTTCAAGGCCAGGCTAATCTACATAGCAAGTTCCAGGCCAGCTGGGGCTACAGGGAGACTCTCTCAAAACGACAGAAAAAAAGAGAGATCCCTAAGTAATGTAGGTTTAGGATTTGGCAGGTGACTGGAAAAGGGACGCTGTGCTTTAGAGAGAATGATGTGAACATTCTTATGCACTGGAATCAGAGAGACCTGTGTTTAAATACTATTTCCACAGTTTACTATTTATATATGACTTCCCATGAGTTACTTCTTACCATCCCCTATCTGTAAAAACATAATAGTTCCTGTCTGATAACTGTATTTAAAGTATTTAGATAGGAAATTCATGCAAGAGCTAGAGGGATGGCACCATGGTTAAGGGGGATTACTTTTCTTTTAGAGGACCAGGGTTCAGTTCTCAGCACTCACATGGCACCTCACAACTGACTGAGCTCCAGCTTTAGGGGATCTGACACCGTCTTCAGGCTCCACAGAAACCTACTTGGTACATATACATACATGCAGACCAACACTCATACACATGAGAGTAAAATTAAAAATTTTTAAATGCAGTTTTTTGCATCTTGTTTAAGATACAGACAATACAATGAATGTTTAGTAAATGCTGGTTAGGTGCTGGAGAGATGGCTCTTGCAGAGGCCCCTGAGTTCCATTCCCAGCGACTCAAAATTGCCAGCTCCAGGGGATTCAGTGCCCTCTCTCTCCTACAAAGGCAACTGTATTCATGTGCACATTGCTACCACTTGCATGCACATAATTTCTAAAAAGAATAAATACTAGTTTTGTTTTCTAGAGGAGATGATCTTTCAGCTTAACTTTAAAGAGTGAGAAAAGTTAGGCAAAGAAGTGAAAGATTTTCTAGTCAGAAGTCCTGGTGTGGTGGCTGTTACGGGGTGGAGTTCGCAAAAAAATCACCAGCACCATTTTAAGTAGCAAGGTAAATTTTATTTTTCGACCGGCCGGGCTGTCTCTCTCGGGAGTAGAAGCAGCCCTGATGATTGTCGGGTCAGAGTTTTTATAGGATTACAGAAATATTTTCAAACAGGACATTTGTGAACCAGTCAGTTTTGTACAACATAGCAGAACTTTGAATCTATTAATCAACAACCAATCATTATACAGACAAGTGATACAGTCATATAACTTGGCAATCAACTTCGTAATTTTAAAATTAGTCAACTCCTTAGCCATAACAAGTATAGTAAGAAAGC